GTACGCTGGGTGGCGCTCGGAAGGCCGACGGAAGCTGCGGGTGTAGTGAAAGTTGAGACCCTTCACACTGGCGTGCAACCAATTGAGCTCATCATGCGAAACCTCTGAGAAATCCTGACCGTCCCCTGGGAAGTCTCCGCGACGTAGAGGTCAGGCCAGTACGTGAGACGCGATCGGGAATGGTAGAAGGTCCCTTCGTTCTCTCCAACCGTTCGGTGGTGAGCGCGGCTTCTCATCGATATCCCATTCAGAATCAGCGCGACTTCTGTCATCGGAAGTCTGTGTAGGAGCCAGGTGTGACAGTATAAAAGCGGAGCCATCGGAATTACGTGTAGAGGCCTGGTGCGGCGAAGCAACTTCATCGGACTTGCGTGCAACTTCGGGGTAGAGCGTCGCGCGCAGCAGCTGCGCAAGATGCCCCCTAAGTTCTCCACTGTGGAGCCAGCTCAATCAAGACGTGGGACTCGTCAGTACGCAAATGAGTATAACTAGAGGCGTCGAAGCTTCGGGCCAGGTCGGCGTCGAAGGAGCGGACGCCGCGTTACCGGACTCGGAAGGCACCTCGACTACCTCGGCGTCGTTCGGGAACGAGACTTCCCTCGGCCCCGCGACCTCGACTTGCCGCCTGCCATGCCCGCCTTCGACTTGCCCGGCCTCGCTCCGCCCTTGCCGTTCTTCGACTTCTGCCCCCCTCCCCGCTTGGATGGCTTGCCGCTGCCCTTCTGCCGCTGGATCGGCAGGTCCTCGGCCGGCTGGGGGGGGGAGCGAGCGCCGCGCTGCCTGCCGCCCCGCGTCGCTGGCGAAGCGAACCCGCCGCGCGGGCGAAGCCGCTCGCGTGCCCTCTCGCTGGTGGGCGCAGGATCGGCCTCCTGTCGGGGCCAGGGCTGATGGCTCCGCGAGCCGCGCCTGCTGGCGACCCAAGCGCGGGGGCTGCGGGCGGCGGCGCTGCGGCGGGGCTGCTGGAGTGCGCCGCTGGCGATGGGCTTCGAGGGGCCGCGGCGGAGGCCGTCTGGGCAGCTCTCTTCCGCTCTCTCCACCGAGCCTTCCTCGAGGCCTTCTCGCAATTCATCAAGGAGATCGTCTTGGAGTGGCCGATCGTCCACTGTGGGTTGTCAGGTGCAGGGGGTGGCCTCTGAAAAAGTGGCGCCCTGGGCTGTGCGCCCCCTTCTCGGCCTGACCCCTGCCCGGCGCTGCCTCCTCCTTTCTTGGCCTTGGCAACGCTCTCGGCCAGGCCGTGCATCCGCTTGTGCTTGCTCACCGCGTGCACCTCCTCCCGACGTGCTATGCCGACTCCCAGGTCGTCGCAGAGCTCCAAATGCTGTGCCACCAGCCAGTGACCGTCCTTGGTGGCCTGCTCGATCGCCTTCAGCCTCTGCATCAGGAGGTCTCCGAGATGGTCCAGCTCTCCTCGATGTGGGGCGTCTAAGCACTCGCCCACCGTCCTCATCTCGCGTGCGCTCCTCACCCCCATCTCGCTCTGCGGGTGGTGCCCGTGCCACACGCTGGTGTTGTACTGCGCCACGGTCGCTGCCGACTCGCCCATGCTCTGATCTGGGTCAGCCCCCCCGCGCCGCGCAAGATATCGTCTGATCTGCTCCATCCCGCTCGAGAGGAGGGAACCTGGTGTCTCCCGAGCGAGATGCGCTATCCTGCGGCCTGAATCGACGTGTGGGGCGCCATCGAAAACTGAAGCACCCGAGCTGTTGTCTGAACTCCTGCTGCGCTTCTTGCGACGATGGCTGCGGCGCTTCGACCCTGGCAAAGCTGCTTCCGCACGGTCCGCAAACGCCTCGCCAACTCCCCTCTTCTGCTGCAGCCGACGTCTCAGCTCCCTCACCTTCTTCTGCAGCTCCTGTGACGATGGCGGCCCTGCTGGCACCCCGGGGGCGGGGGCAGGCGGACGCGCCCCAGCGGCCGCACCAGCCATGCCACGGCCTGGCGCCTGCGTCTGCGCCCAGGGTTCCGTGACCCCGCTCGGCGACCGCATGCGGTAGGTCTCGACGTGCACCACCGAGCGCTGCGGCCACTGCACCAACCCAGCGCACACTCCAGCCTGCTGCGTGCAGAGGTGCAGCACGGCCCCCCCTAAGCTGGCGAAGCTCCCCGCCAGCACCGGCCAGAGCGGCGCGCTGCTGCACCCGACGAAGGTGGCCTCCACGAAGCACCCCATGCCGTCTCCTGGCCATACGTTCTGCACCTGGAAGATCGCCGCGCCCGCGGCGCTCCCGAAGTTGTCGAACGTGACTCCCTCCAACAGGCATCCGGGAGCCAGGCCCAAGCACTGGTAGGCTATGGGGGCCGAGGGGCCGTGCACCCAGGGCCCCGCCCCTCCAGGCGACGCCGCCAGATCGCAGGCCCCTCCAGCCAAGCCTGCAGCCGCCCCAGCTGCCGGCACCCAGCCAAGGAACCCGCCGCCCCCGACACCATGCCCGCGGCCTGAGGCCACGCGCCAGCTCCGCCGAAGCCTCCGACGCCCAACGCGCGTGCACCCAGCCCAGGCACTCCAGGTCCTGCTGCGCCAGGCCCGCCAGGCGGGCCGCCGACGGCGGCAGCGGCCCCGCCGCCCCACGCTTGGAGGACAAGCCCGCCACAGGTACCTGCCGCGGCGGCGGGGGCACCTGGGGGGCCCGGCAGCCGTTGCTCCAGCAGCTCCGCCTCCTGCAACTCCGGCTGAGCCGGGTGCGCCGCCTGCTGGCCCCCCAGCGCCCCCGATGGCGGGCAGCCCCGCGCCCCCAGGGACTCCCGCAGCCCCTCCGGCGCCAGCCGCGGCCGGTACTCCACCAGCAGCTCCCGCGACGATGGCGCCCGACCCTCCAGCACCTGGAGCGGCTGCGACCGCAGCAGCGGCACCAGGGGGGGCGGCGGCCGCGGCACCAGCTCCACAACCACGGCCTCCACGTCGGCCGCCGCGCCCTCTAGCCGCGGGAGGTGGGGGGCCCGCGGCAACGGCGGCAGCGGCGGCGGCTCCGCGTCCTCGCCCCGCGGCCGCAGGCTTCGCCTTAGCCTTCGCACGCGCGGGCTGAGGCGGCGCAACCCGAGGGTGTGTGGGTTTACGAATGTTTTCTGATCGGCGTTACGACATTGGGCCGAAAGGGGGAGCGGAGAGGAGGGGAGGGGGTCTGGCTCTGGACCTTTGCGTGGTGCGGCTGTTTGAAACCGTGCGTCCTGTAGGGGGGAGCCCACCTGCTCGAAGCCAGCGCCAAAAACAGCCAAGATCTACACCATTGGGGGGGGGAGGGAGGGGACGAGGGCCAGCGCCGATCGGCAAAACAATGAATTACTCCTATACGGCAGGACCCCACATGAGAATCCTCTAGGCTAATCTGGAAATAACCCTCATCGTCGTCCTCGTGATGTGGGGAGCCTGCGTTGCCAGAGGCTCACGCAGTTGACGAGGCCAACGGCTCTCGCCTTCGACAAAGTGATTACCAACTGTGCGGCCAGAGGCTCGCACAGCTGACGAGGCCAAAGGATCTCGCCGACGCTGGCTGGATCGTACAGGACTCGTACGCGGCCAGAGGCTCGCATACCTGACGAGGCCAAAGCCTCTCGCTTCGATTAATGCGACGCTCGCAGCCCAGCGCGGCCAGAGGCACGCGCAGATACCTCACCACTCACTCATTGAGGAGGCTCCCGCCCATTTCTTCCTTTATATTCAGGCATCCGGAGCCCAAAAATGACGACAAATACAGGTTTGAGGATGACCCGCTTCGGATTCGAACATCCACTGCGGGCCCCATAGGGCGGAAGCTCCCGCCTGAGACTTTCTCGCAATTCACTCACAGACGAGGCTCCCGCCTGATACTTCTCCCATATTCAGGCGTCAGGAACCCCAAAGTGACGACAATTACAAGAGTCCGATGACCCGTCTCGGATTCGAACGTGAAGTGCGGGCCCCATTGGGAAAGGGCTCCCGCCCGAGACGTCCTCCCAATTCACACGCAAACGAGGCTCCCGCCTGAATCTTCCTCCAATTCAAGCCCCAGGAGGCCAACAATGACGACGGTTACAAGGTTCTGGTGACCCGCTCGGTTTACAAACATGAGCTGCGGGCTCCAGAAGGCGGAGGCTCCCGTCTGATACTTTCTCGCAATTCACTGGCAAGCGAGACTCACGCCTTATACTCCGTCCATATTCACGCCTCAGGTGCCCAAAAGAAAAGACAATTACAAGATTTCCGACGATCCGCTCGGATTACACACATGAGCTGCGGGCCCCTTAGGAAATGGGCTCCTGCCTGAGACTTTCTCGGGATTCACTCACAAACGAGGCTCCTGCCTGATACTTCATATAGATTCAGGCCTCGGGAACCCAACAATGACGACAAGTACAAGTTTGAGGATGGCCTCCCTGGCATCCATGATGGGCCTGTTTTCCACCACCACCACCATAAGTTGGAGGGGGAGGGCATCCTTCTCCTCCTCCTCCTCCTCCTCCTCCTCCTCCTCCTCCTCCTGCTCCTCGTCCTCCTCTTCGTCCTCCTCTTCGTCCTCCTCTTCGTCCTCCTCCTCCTCCTCGTCCTCCACCTCCTTCCTCCCTCCAACGTATGGTAGTGGTGGTGGAAGAGAGGCCCATCAATCCATGGTAGTCCTGGTCTCCATCCATCCTGGCCTCGCCTGCTGGCGTCTCTGCCCTTCCCGCCCAACCCAAAGATGCTGAAGAACTACAGGAGCATAAACCTTCGACGGTCCGCGCAGATCTCTTGGATTTGCGCTGGGCCCCCCTTCCTGAGCGCGCGGAGCGCGCCAGGGGAGCACAGCGCAGACCTTAGGAAAACCGCGCGGACCGCAGAGAGTTTGTTTATGATTGTTTGCCCTCGTCGAGGCGAGCCTCAACCAAAAACGAGCACTCCGTGGTCCCAGTCCCGGCGGCGCGCACAAAGGGCAGCACGGGGAGCGGGGGCGCCTTCCTGGAAGGAGGCTGCTCCTCAGAGGGCGCGGGATCTGCGTCAGCAGACGGGGCCCGCGCCTTCTAGGCAGCGGCTTCCCTCGAGGCAGCGCGCTCCCCCTGCGCGCGCGGCCGCGGGGCACCCGGGCTCCTCCGAGCCGCGCGCCTCGAGCCCCAGGAGCACCTCCTCTCCCGCGGAGCCCAGCTCGTGCAGCCAGCCCCCGGGGGGGCGCAGCGGGCGCACGTCGCAGTCTGCGAAGAGGCCGCCCCGCTGGGCCAGCAGCGCGTACATGAAGAGGTCCTTCTTCCGGGAGCCGCACACCCCAGAGATGCTGCCATCCATTGGGGGCTCGACCTTTGCTTCCGCCGGCTTCGGTCACCCTTCCGCCGGCTTCCGCCGGCGAAGCCGCCCATTCGTTTCGCTTCCGCCGCCCTCCGCCCGGCAAGAGGTGGCCACTCCTTCAGCCCTCGAAAGCGAGGCCTGTTTGGAACGCCCCCTGTTTTTGTTGGCCACCACGAGGCGCGAGGCGGCCGGAGAGGCCAGGGGGGGGGCGATGGGGCCACAAGCAAACCATCAAGGCTTCCGCGCGCGTGCCGACGTGTGATTCCGTGAGAAACACACGCAAACACACACACACACACACACACGCACGACACCTACAAACTGCGTACAAAAGTGAGGGGGCGGCGGGATCGTCGGAAGTCTGCGAGGCTCTGAGGGGGCCCGCCGCGGGCGCTGATTTCTTTACACGTTACACAAAGAGCCCGCCGCACCCTCCGAAATCGTCGGAGCGATTTGGGTGCGTCGAGGGTGTATCGCAGGTGGGTCGCGGGCGGGACGGGGTGGTTCGCGGGTGGGTCACGGTTATGTCGGGGGCGGGTCGCGAGCGGGGAAGGTGATGACGACGACGACGACGTGGACAACAACAACAACAACAACAACCACAACAACAACAACAACAACAAGAACAACAACAACCACAACAACAACAACAACAACCACGACGACGACGACGACGACGACGACGACGACGACGACGACGACGACGACGACGACGACAACAACAACAACAACAACAACAACAACAACAATCACTTTACCCGAATGCTCAGTGTTCTCACCAGTGCCAGGGTTTTCATGCGACGCCAGCCAATACCCCCACTTTGTGGGGGGGCAGTGCAAGCTCTACCAAATATCCACACGACTCTTCGCCACCACCCACACCCAGCTTCCCGCCCTATGACGTTCGGACACTTCACTTCGTGGCCTGCGGACGACCGTGGCTACTACACTGGCGTGGAGTACACACCCACAGAAGTTGTTAGGACAGCGCGCGCGGGTGGAAATTTTGAAAAGTCGTGCAGCTGTTTTTCGAGGACCTACGGTGCGATTCGTGTGATTTTATGATGCGCGGTGCTAAAATTCTTAAGAACCCAATGGTTTTTGGAGATTTCGGCGTGCGCGCGCGAAGAAAAAACGAATGTGTCCCGCATGGTATTATTTGACAGGGATGATGGCCCTGGCAGGTGCGCAACCGTTGTCGCAGAAGTTCGAAAAAGTTGCTCGCAAAAGCCCGTTTGACAGAAATGTTTAAAAAGTGTTGGGTTTCCTACGAATCCGCAAGAGCGCGCGGGATGAGATTTTGACATTTTTTTGTTGAAAAACCATGGTTTTTTGATGTTTTTATGTTGAAATCGCTCCGAACACTAAGCTTTTGGAAGGATTTCGTCTTGCGCGCGCGAATGTCCACTTTACCTTATTTTTTGCAAGGGATTCTTGAAATTTGATTATATTAGAACAAGAAATGTCATTTTATAGTGTTTTTTGCAAGGGAAAGCGGGGGGGAACAAAACAACCGGATCTTGATCACATCGAATTACCTGAGGCTTCCTCACGAAAATGATGAAAATGTAGCTGCGGCCTAGGCGGCGCAGGGGGGCCGTGCACCAGGGGTCCCAACAATAATTATTCTTTAGAATTAATAATGTTCAACAACAACAACAACAACAACAACAACAACAACATCAACAACAACAACAACAACAACAACAACAACCACGACGACGACGACGACAACAACAACCACAACAACAGCAAAAAACATGATCAGCGTCGCGGAATTCCACTTCAGCCACGGACCCAGGGACGGTGAAAGCCCGTTTGGCACCATCACCCTGATATGTATAAAAATGCATACAATCTTACACTATTTCTATAGGTATGTGTTTGTGAATATGTATTTGTAAATGTTGTATGCCTGTATACATATGTGTATGTAACAGCATGTATATCTGGATGTACATATTAAAATGCGTGCACCTGTTACCAAGCTCCAGTGGTAGTCTAAAGTGTCAAGCATCGAGAGACAAACGTTGCCACACGGCTCGTGCACCTCAAGGAGCTCCACCTGCGGCCCCAAAGACAAGTTAGGCTGCTCTTTTGAGCCGTGTACGGGCGAGCTCGGAGGTCGTTAGGGCCATCTTGGGCGCACGGCTCTCGAAGCCCACTCGAGCTCCTTTCTCGGAGGACCTATGCCAAGGGCGGTCTTGGAAACGTCTTGGGCCGTTTTCGAAGCATCGTCTGCCGTCATGGGGCCCTGCCGGCCGTCTTGACGCCCTCTTGGAGCCAAGTCCTTCTCTGGCGATCTTGGCGTGCCCTTGCACCGTCGAAGGATTCCGGAAGTCCAAATTGCGAGCCTGCTGAGGATACTTCTCCTTCTCGAGGTCCTCCAAAAAGTTCCCAGCACAGACTCAGCAGTCGGAAGACTGGTGGGATTTGCAGCGCTGTAGGACCTCTCGGCTGGCGTCCATGGCCAGAGCGCGTATCAGGCAAAACCGCCCAAGCGCGAGTCGCAATGCACAACTCGGGCTGCTGGCGCTGCCTAGCGATCCTAGAATGGCAGCTCCTGTTTGCGGTCCCGCAAGGAGGTTCCCAGCACGGACTCACCAATCGGAGGGCAATGCAGCTTCATGGACGGGAAAACACGAATAACGAAGGAGAGAGAATGCACCTGCTGGCAACATGCGATAGCAAGCACAATGCACCAGCCAGCAGAACGCACCAGAGAGGAAGGAATGGACGGGGGTAGACCGAGAGTTCTATCGGCGGCCGAATATGAAGCCTCAAGAATTTATCCCTTGGGGCCTTGGTGGTCACCAGCTGTCATCTTCGGATCTGTCGTCAATCCATCTCTATCCCCGGATCCCAAATCCAGAGGATGCTGCGTTTCGGAAAAGGGTGTCACCAGCTCCCGTCTTGGGATCTGGCCTCAACCCGGCTCGGTCAACCCGGCTCGATCTCGCCGGCTGCCGCCAACGGACCACCTTCGGCCGCCTTCCGCCGCGGAAGAGATGCAAACTCCTCCTTATCTCGAGGGCAGGGCCCTTTCTTGAGCGCCCCACATGGCCTTCTTCTGGGCCGGGGGGAACTCGGCGTAGGCATCCACCGGCTGCTTGCAGAGGCGATCCCAGGCAAGCGTGGCCTTTGGTGCGCGGTTTGCCGACCGTCGCACGCCGTGCGACAGTGGCCGCCCGCGCGGTCGGGTTTGCCCCGCCCCCCCCCCCCGCGCCCCCCCGAAGACTGCGCACCAACAGCCACCCCGTCGAAGGGCCCCTCCTGCGTGCAGCCGAATCCACGGCCTCCTGGCCTCCGAACTCGTGCAGCACCACGGCGGCCGAGGAGTCGTTCCAGAGGATCTGAGGGCCCACTCTGCACCACCACCGCTACACTTAGGTCGGGCATGCCCTCCTAAGAAAAAACGAAGCAAGCTAAAAAATATTCGAAAACATAGAATGGGGGAACCAAGCCACAAACAAAAATGATAATAGTCCAAATTAACACGGAGAAATACATAGTCAAAATAAAAACAAGTCCCCCGACAGTTGTGACTATTTCATGATATTTCTTTTGAAGAAGGACATGCCCGACTTAACGCTACAGACCAGGGGTGACTGCCCCGTGGTGGTGCTCTGCCGCGCGAGTCGCCGCCCACGCCCAGCAAGGCACTACCATAGCTCAACCGAGCCTAGTCGGTCCCAGAGATCGAACGCATAGGAAAAAAAACACAACGGCGTTTCTTCGCAACTTTCGGCCTCTAGGGGCCCTCGCCGGGCCCCAGGACCGTCAAAGACTCGGGATGAAACACCGGTCCCAGGGAAGAGGTCGAGACTTCCTCGGACCCCGGCAGCGAACCACGACATCGGATCTCCGGGGCAGTGGTGGCGGTGAGAAGTTGGCCCAGGAGGACGTACTCCACATCGGGCTGGTAGGCCCGCCACGCGGCCATGGCGCCCCGCAGCGCCTCGCTCCTGTGCGGAGGGCTGGCCCGAGCTCACGGCGACCCTCCCTGGCGCTCGACGTACGAAGAAGCTGAAGCATCAGACATTTCACGGCGGATGCCCCAGGCATCACCCTTCTGCTGCATCTTTCGAGCCGGGTCGATGTGTGAGGATCCCAGGGCCCGAAACCCGGCGAAAGTACCGTTGCGAAAAAGCTGCAACGCCAGGGTCTCAGTTAGGTGGCGACATCCGAACCCTGCCCCCACCAACCATCGATACTCCTGAAGAGTCCTAGATCAATGGGGTGCAGGAGTAGGGTTCGGATTTCACCACGTGCTCGACGAATTCCGAAAACTTCCCCCGCCGCCCATCGAGTTGTCTGAATCTCCGATCGGCGAGGGTAGGGTTCGGATTGCGCCGCCGATCCACATTGTCGCAGATTGCAATCCGCCGATCCCTTCCTCAAGACAGCTTTTCATCATGGGTCTTTTTCTGACGGTCCGAGGGCCCGGTGTGGGGGCTCCCATAAGCGAAAACGGTGAAAAACATCCAGTCCCGATGTTCCAAGACACGAGGAAGTCTGGGCCAGGATGTCCGCGAGTAGAGGCCTCCCAAGTGGGGTCAGACTAGTTGGGGTCGGAAGATCGTGCGGCCTCGCCGATGCATAGCCGATGCATCGGCGATGTATCGGCGACGAATATGATGCATCGGCGCCGACGCCGTGGAGAAAATCGGGATACCCCCTCACTGGGAATGCAGGGCGACTTGGGGCCTTCGGGGTGGGTTGGGGCGGATTGGTGGGTAGTGGAGAGTGCTGTCTCGGCTGAGGGGCCAATCTTCCACCACCACCACGAACAGGTAGGAGAAGGAGAAGAAGGAGGAGGAGGAGAGGAGGAGTAACTCCCCGGTGATAGTGCTGGTGGGTAGTGAAAGGAGAAGAAACAGAAACAACACATGAACATAAACTTTTGGCGCTCTGCGCGGAATTCTTGGATCTGCGCCGGACACCCCTCCCTGGCGCGCGGAGCGCGCCAGGGGCGGCGCCAGAGGCGCCGCTGGGGGGGGGGGCCAGCGCGTATCAAAGAAATCCACGAGGAGCGCCAACAGTCTATGATTCTGGCGATTTTCTTCATCGAGAGAAGTGAGAGGGAGGTGAAGGAGGAGGGGGAGGAGGATGAGGAGGAGGAGAAGGAGGGAGGAGGAGGGAGGAGGGAAGAGGAGGGAGGGGGAAGAGGAGGGAGGGGGAGGAGGAGGGAGGACGAGGAGGACGAAGAGGACGAGGAAGACGATGAGGAGAAGGAGGAGGAGGAGGAGGAGGAGGAGGAGGAGGAGGAGGAGGAGGAGGGAGGAGAGGGAGAGGGAGGGGGACCTCCACGGTGACGGTGCTGGCGGGCCTCGGCTGGCCCTCCGCCGATCCTCGGCTGCCCCGCGGGGCTCCACAGCTGGTGCACCACCGGGGGGAACGCGCGGCACGCCCGCAGCGCGGCCAGCAGCGGAAGCGCCCGCCGCCGCAGCGGGAGCGGCCCGAGGGGCATGTGCGGCGGCAGCGGAGGGGCCGCCGGCGCGCGGGGGCCATGCTGACCTCGGGCCTCACGCGGCAGTTTCTGTTCAGGCTCGGGCGAGTTCTGGTTCACTATCAAAAAGGACCGCTAATCCTCTGGGTGGGGACCTAAGTTAGGAGAGGCAAGAACATCAGGGATGCTATGGGGCTCTGCAGGCTTATCGAACCAAACCGCCCCAGATGTATGATCCCTGAGGCCACGTCTTCACTCTGATATTAGGGCTTGCATGGAGAAGGCTCCTCGATGGAAGTTGGCTTGCATGGAGGGGGGAGGGGGGCGCGGCGCGGCGGGACCCGACAGAAAATCTGTTTTTTTCCCAACCATCCTGTGGTGTTGGGTCCTCGTTTTGAAGAGACGGTGGCCCGCGTCTCCTCTCCTCCTCTCCTCCTCCGCCTCCTCTCCCCTCCTATCATCCTCATCGTCATCATCATCATCGTCATCATCATCATTATCATCATCATTATCATCATCATTCCTCTCCTCTCCTCTCCTCTCCTCTTCTCTCCTCTCCTCTCCTCTTCTCTCCTCCACCCCTCTCCTCCTCTCCTCTTCACCCGCCCAGTACACCGTTTCGTGGCCCCATAGGGAGCTCCACCGAAGGCCCCAGTGCCCGCGCCCGCATGCGTCACCCACACCCAATTCGGCACACCCCTCACACGCTTCGTGGCTCCATACGGAGCTCCACCGAAGGCCCCAGTGCCCGCGCCCGCATGCGTCACCCACACCCATTTCAGCACACCCCTCACACGCGTGGCTCCATAGGGAGCTCCACCGAAGGCCCCAGTTTCAGACCCACACCCCTCACACGCTTCGTGGCTCCATAGGGAGCTCCACCGAAGGCCCCAGTGCCCGCGCCCGCATGCGTCACCCACACCCATTTCGGCACACCCCTCACACGTTTCGTGGCTCCATAGGGAGCTCCACCGAAGGCCCCAGTGCCCGCGCCCGCATGCGTCACCCACACCCATTTCGGCACACCCCTCACACGTTTCGTGGCTCCATAGGGAGCTCCACCGAAGGCCCCAGTGCCCGCGGCCGCATGCGTCACCCACACCCATTTCGGCACACCCCTCACACGTTTCGTGGCTCCATAGGGAGCTCCACCGAAGGCCCCAGTGCCCGCGCCCGCATGCGTCACCCACACCCATTTCGGCACACCCCTCACACGTTTCGTGGCTCCATAGGGAGCTCCACCGAAGGCCCCAGTGCCCGCGCCCGCATGCGTCAGCCATACCATTTCGGCACACCCCTCACACGTTTCGTGACTCCATGGGGAGCTCCGCCGAAGGCCCCAGTGCCCGCGCCCGCATGCGTCACCCACACCCATTTCGGCACACCCCTCACACGTTTCGTGGCTCCATAGGGAGCTCCACCGAAGGCCCCAGTGCCCGCGCCCGCATGCGTCACCCACACCCATTAGCGGAACACCCCTCACACGTTTCGTGGCCTCCATAGGGAGCTCCAGACGAGGCCCAGTGCCCAGCCCGCATGCGTCACACCACACCCTCTCGGCACACCCCTACACCTTCGTGAATCCATAGGAGCTCCGCGAAGGCCCCGAGTGCCGCGCGCCCCGGATGCGTCACCACGAACAGACCCATTTCGGCACACCCCTCACACGTTTCGTGGCTCCATAGGGAGCTCCACCGAAGGCCCCAGTGCCCGCGCCCGCATGCATCAGCCACACTCATTTCGGCACACCCCTCACACGTTTCGTGGCTCCATAGGGAGCTCCACCGAAGGCCCCACAAGATGCCCCCGCGCCACGCGATGCTCAGCCATACCACTTCGCACAGCCCCACAGTTTGCGATGGCTGAGCATAGGGAGCTCCACCGAAGGCCCCAGTGCCCGCGCCCGCATGCATCAGCCACACTCATTTCGGCACACCCCTCACACGTTTCGTGGCTCCATAGGGAGCTCCACCGAAGGCCCCAGTGCCCGCGCCCGCATGCGTCACCCACACCCATTTCGGTACACCCCTCACACGTTTTGTGGCTCCATAGGGAGCTCCACCGAAGGCCCCAGTGCCCGCGCCCACATGCGTCACCCACACCCATTTCGGCACACCCCTCACACGTTTCGTGGCTCCATAGGGAGCTCCACCGAAGGCCCCAGTGCCCGCGCCCGCATGCGTCAGCCACACCCATTTCGGCACACCCCTCACACGTTTCGTGGCTCCATAGGGAGCCCGCCGAAGGCCCCAGTGCCCGCGCCCGCATGCGCCAGCCACACCCATTTCGGCACGCCCCTCACGCGTTCCGTGGCCCCATAGGGAGCTCCGCCGAAGGTCCCAGTGGGTGTGCCCGCATGCGTCCCGCACACCCATTCGGCACACCCCTCACACGTTTCGTGGCCCCATAGGGAGCTCCACCGAAGGCCCCAGTGGGTGTGCCCGCATGCGTCCCGCACGCCCATTTCGGCACACCCCTCGTACGTTTAGTGGCCCCGTAGGGGGGCTCCACCGAGAAGATATTCACAATTGCAGTATTCACAATTGCACATGGTTGGGTCCTTCGCCAGGATAATTTTCCCAACCATCCTGTGGTGTTGTATCCTCGCGTTGAGGAGACAGCGCCCCGCGACTCATTCCTTCCTTCTTTCCTTCCTTCCTTCCTCCTCCCCCCTCCTTCCCACCCCCCCTCCTCCTGCCCGCATGCGGTTCCCCCACCCAGGGCAGCGTTTCGTAGCCCCATAGGAGCTCCACCGCAGGCCCCAGTGGGGGTGCCCGCATGCGGTCCCCCCACCCAGGGCAGCGTTTCGTGGCCCCATAGGGAGCTCCACCGTATGCCCCAGTGGGGGTGCCCGCATGCGGTTCCCCCACCCAGGGCAGCGCTTCGCAGCCCCATAGGGAGCCCCACCGAAGGTCCCAGTGGGGGTGCCCGCATGCGGTTCCCCCACGTTTCGTAGCCCCAGAGGGAGCTCCACCGTAGGCCCCAGTGGGGGTGCCCGCATGCGGTTCCCCCACCCAGGGCAGCGTTTCGTAGCCCCAGAGGGAGCTCCACAGTAGGCCCCAATGGGGGTGCCCGCATGCGGTTCCCCCACCCAGGGCAGCGCTTCGTGGCCCCATAGGGAGCTCCACCGAAGGCCCCAGTGGGGGTGCCCGCATGCGGTTCCCCCACCCAGTGTAGCGTTTCGTAGCCCCAGAGGGAGCTTCACCGTAGGCCCCTGGGGGGTGCCCGCATGCGGTTCCCCCACCCAGGGTTGTGTTTCGTAGCCCCATAAGGAGCCCCACCGTAGGCCCCAATGGGGGTGCCCGCATGCGGTTCCCCCACCCAAGGCAGCGTTTCGTAGCCCCATAGGAGCTCCACCGAAGGCCCCAGTGGGGGTGCCCGCCTGCGGTTCCCCCACTCAGGGCAGCGTTTCGTAGCCTCATAGGAAGCTCCACCGAAGGCCCCAGCGGGGGTGCCCGCATGCGGTTCCCCCACCCAGGGCAGCGCTTCGTAGCCCCATACTCTGAGTACCTCAATAGTTCTGGTCCCCCGGACTACAGGGGCCCCCCGGCTTTCAAGGGCCCCTCCCCCGGACTACAAGGGCCCCCCCCCGGACTACAGGGGCCCCCCCCCGGACTACCAGGACCCCCCCCCGGACTACAAGGGCCCCCCCCCCGGACTACAGGAACCCACCCCCGGACTACAATGACCCGGAAGCAAGGAGCAAGGACTTACTTGCCGCCACGCGTGCAACTGTGGCCACTTTGCCTGGCCCTCTGCATTGCCAGGCGCGCATCTCCGCGGTCGTCGAGCGGGACGTCGCCCCGCGAAGATCACGCCGCACCTCCCCCCCCCCCCCCCCCTGGGCTACAGGGACCCCCCCCCGGACTTCAAGGGCCCCCCCCCCGGACTACAAGGGCCCCCCCCCGGACTGCAAGGGCACCAAAAAAACCCACCCCGGACTACAGGGGCCCAACCCCCGGACTACAGGGGCCGCCCCCGGACTATTGCGCACCCCAGAACTATTGAGGTACTCAGAGCAGGGAGCTCCACCGACGACCCCAGTGGGTGTGTTCGCATGCGTCTCCCCTACCCAGAGGTAGCGCCACCGAAAACGATATTCATATTTGCGGTATTCACAACTGCATATGGTTGGGTCCTTCGCCACGCTAATTTCGGGCAAGCCGAGGCTCGCTTGCGCGCCTTTTCGGCCTAGCGCTGTTTGCACTTGTGGCGGAGAAGGAGGGGGGGGGGGGGGCGAAATGAGATGCAAATGAACTTGCCATACCCCATCATATATATATATATATATATAACACAAAAAACGCTTTATGGTTCATCTTCGGGGGGCCTTGTCTGTCCCGTCGCGCCATTACCCGCGTCAAATATGTGCCGAGTCCATGTCGGATTCGTCCAATCTGCGTCAACTCCAAATCGAATCTGCGTCGAATCCGTGCCAAATCCGCGCCGAGTTCGCATCAAGCCCGCGCCAGGCACAAGAAAAAACACCCCGAAGATACAACATAGCGGGCCAGTGGAACGGCTGGAGACGAGGCAGCTTGAGTCAAAGAGGTCATGGCGGCTGCAGCCGAGGCTAGAAGAAGAAACAAACGCCAAAAGTTTATACTGGTGGCGTTCATTCTTCGTCGAGAGGCAGCTGGGTCACTCACATGACTCACTGGGTCTTCTTTTTCGCCGTGTTTCGGGCTCCAGGACACTCACAGATCGATCTGGCTCGACAAATGGCTCTGAAAGATAGGGTCCAGGTTTTAGGGTTGTGGGTGCCATGGCAAGGGTCAACCTATCAATCCTATCATTGAATTAGAATTGTGTTTTAAATATGGGAACAATGGTTTAGACATGTGTACAACATGTGCTTTGCATGCCCAGGACATGTTGAAGACATGCTTCAGAACCCTGGGAAGCACTTGGCACGATGCTCCCTCTCCGTTGATCGTCGTGCACGATGCGAGGGCTCTGGTCGTGATGTCCTGCTGCGTCTTCATCTGTGCGCAGCGTCGGATCTCGGGACTCGGCCCCACGCCACAGCAAGCACGCACGCGACCTCTGGTGCGCGGCCTGCCGGCCGCGGGCCGGA